GTCATACCACTGAATTTTTTCACTAAACCATGAACGTGGTTGGCGTAAAATTATTATATTGTTATTGTATCCCAAATGTGTAAAAATTGTAGTTTGATTCCCACACCTCAACATTCGATATTGAGTCTTTACTTTTTGAAGATCTCTAGGAGTGATATTATTATCACACGTCCAATTACTAACATCACGTATTTTTATCTTAATTGATTATTATGATTTTTAATTTATTAAAAAAATAAAAAAATATAAAATTTTAAATAAAAATGTAATGTGAAGACATAATAGATAATTAAATTAAAAAGATAGATAATTAAATTAAAAAGATGTCGTAATAACCCACCTGTTCTTTAGCTATTCGCAAGAATTGGAAGAAATTAAATCCAGTGAATTCAATACAACTAGATCTCTCCTTGATGTTAATATTAAAAAGGATTTAAATAAGTCAAAAACATAGAGAAAACATAGCTAACTATCATTATTTCATTAAAAATTGTTGTTCTTTTACAGTCGGGGAATATCTCACAGAAGAAAAGCAGAAAAGTAGGGGGCAGCAGATGGAGCGAAAGTTTGTGGGCAGCAAAACATCTTAAGTGGAGATTAGTCAGCAACTCAGACTGTTTGCCATTATCGTTACATTGACTGTCTTTCACTCCATTGAAATATATACCCTTATCAGACATACCAAATCAGAAATTAGCGAGTATGGCAACAAAGATAGAGAATAGGAAAGAGTAAAACGATAAGCGAAAATGCATTCCAATTCTAAGTAATGACTACTAAATTTTGCAGTTTTCTTCTTGTTGAATCCAGAGACTTTATTGTCTTTTGTTGCATTTTTTTTTTTTTCTGCTTCTCTTTCCAAACAACTTGCTGCATCATCAGCTGTAGATTTCAGCAGCATTTTGTAACTGTAATTAGTGATAATTTGTTTATACTGTAAAAGGGGAAAAAAATCAGTGATACTTTGCTTGCAGAGTCTTGCTGTCTTTAAACGTGTCTTGATTTAGCATGTGGCATTGACAATCTAAAACAAAAACATAATAATCAAAGAATTTCTGTATGCAGATTTTATCAAATGGAAAGTAGCAAATCTTCTCATGTACCACCTATTAGAAAAGTAACAAATCTTCATCTACAAACTTGCCAATCAGTATAAAAAGCAAAAAACATTGTAGCCTTTGGTCAGCAACCATGCGAATTATGATCTCACAAACCCTGCTCAAACTCCTCACTTTCCATCTCTATTGTGCTATATCCAGCTTCCTTAATCATCTCCACATGCTTTTCAGCTGACCCGTTCCCAAACTCGGTAATCTCTTCTTTAGTTTCCTGCATTCTTACCCGATCAGGGGACCATCCAGCAATGGCGTAAGTGCTGGAAAGGAGGATTGAATCTGTGGGATGTCCCTTGTCAAATCCAACCAAAACTCTTTGCACACGTTCCCCCAATCTAACATTTCCATGAACTCGGCAAGCTGAAAGCAGTGCACGCCATGCAGTAGCATCACCTTTAATGGGCAAGCTTTCAATAAAGCTGTATGCTTCCTCTAGCAAGCCTGCTCTACCGAAAAGATCAATCACACAACCATAGTGTTCAATCCTAGGTGAAATTCCATATTTTTGAACCATTCTCTTGAAACATGTCATCCCTTCCATGATCAATCCTCCATGGCTACAAGCACTCAGCACTGCTAAAAAAGTGACTTCATTAGGTTTAAATCCTTCCTCCTCCATTCTATGGAAGACTGAGATGGCATCTCTTGCCCTTCCATGAACACCATAAGCCGAAATCATGGCTGTCCAAGATTTTACATCTTTGGTTTCCATCCTCTCAAAAATATCAATAGCCTTGTCCAAAAGGCCACATTTAGCAAACATATCAAGCAAAGCTGTACCAAGAACCACATCTGATGGTAACCCATGTCCTTCAACATAATTGCTGATGCACCGGCCTACATTTGTGGCTCCAGATGCAGCACAAGCAGAAAGCAAACTTACCAATGTAGAAGAATTGGGCTCCACTTGTTCATATTCCATTAGCTGTAGAAGAGCTATGGATTCTTTAAGCAAACCACTCTTGGCATAGTTGCCTATCATACAATGCCACAATACAACATCCTTCACAGCCACACTATCAAAAATCCTACGCCCTGTATCAATATTCCCTGTTTTTGCATACATATCAACCAAGGCAGAGAGCACTTTTGAATCACAAAAAAATCCAATCTTAATGCAATGCCCATGAAGAGACTCCCCACCAAGTGAATCATCCAAATCACTAGCAGCAGGCAAAACAGTCAACATGGTAGTAACACTGATTCTCAAACAACACCTACACATTTGCCTGAATAAATATATTACTACTTTAGGCTGAGAAATATGAAGATACGCACCCATCAAACTGTTCCAAGAAACTAAATCGTTTATTTGAGGATTTTCATCAAAAAGCTTCTGGGCATGCTGAATTCTGCCACAAACACCATAAAAATGCAAAAGGGTATTCTTAACATTGATAAACTGAACATGCCCTGATCTCACTGCTACTCCATGAACTGCTTGACCCATTACAGTGGCTGATGCACGGGCACAGGCTTTGAGGATTGTAACAAAAGAGAACTGGTCTAGGATGATTCCCCTAGCCCTCAATTTATTGAAAATGTCAAAACTCTGTTTTGGATCATCACTAATAGAAAAGGCTCTAAGCATGGTATTGTACATGAAGAGATTTGGGTGTTGAATTTGGTTGAAAATAGAGGCTGCATGTTGTGTGTCTTGTATTGAAGAAGCAAGAAGCTTGCTCAAAGTGAAAGGGTCACGGTCAAGGCCAGTTTTGACGATAAAGCTGTGGATTTGAGAGATTTCCAAGGTCTGTTTGCATGATTCTAATGCAGAAAGGAGGTTTGAATATTGCAAGCGAACTGGGTTTTGACATAGGCGTGAAGCAATGTTTGAGGTCATGAGCCAACCACTTGCAGACGAATAAATTGAATAACCCAAATCTTCAAAATTTCTGAATCAAACCAAAACTCTTGGAAAGAAACACAAAAAATATTCAACATAAAAATTCCATTATTTCCTTCTAAACAAACTAAGCAAGCAAACGTAAGAAACATAACACAGCCATTCATTGGAAATCAAACAATCGGGCCTCATCAATTAATCTTAATTTTCAGCAATAAGAGAAAACGTAAACATATTTTTGTGTTTCAATTCGACAAAAAGTTAGCGAGAATACCTGACATGTAACAGACAGATTCTTGCAAGGTGCAAACGAGTGTAGTAAATTCAGGTGTTCTCAACGAACCTAAAGGAGGCCCTCACGATCGGGATTCCCTCCCCTGCTTGTGTGGCTTCTTCTTCTCCAATGGATCTCCTTTTCTGATTTTCTCTCTTCTTTAGATGCTCCACCCGTTCTCTTTAGGTTTCCATTCACCAGCGGCTACAACGATCATATTGGGATCCATTGCGCAGCTTCATGATTCTCTCCGGATCGTCTTCTTCCCTCAGTTTTTCCTGCAGGCCTCTCCGTGAGACCAACGCAAGGCGTAGGGACGAGAAGGAGTCTGTGGCTGCCGAATCGAGTTCTCCAGTCGTGGGTTCTGTAGGTGGGATCGAGGCGGCGGTGGCAGCGGCTGAGTCGAGAAATTCTTTTCGGCGGAGAGGGCCGACAGAGGGAATCCCCTTTTTTCTTTTTTTCCTTTTTTGTTCCGAACGACGCCGTTTGTATTTTACAGCTTTGGATCTGAGACGAACGTGTCCGGGTTTGGACGCAGACTGCATTGGATTGGGGTTTCGTTTCATGTCTAGGTGAGCCTGATGTTTGGGTCTTTGCATGGCTATTGGGTTTGTTTTGGGTTTGAACCCAATTTTCATTTTTGAATTTGATCCTCCTATTTCTCATTTCTTCAGCTAAATCCCCCCCTTTTTTTTCCCCTCTTCTTCAACCCTCCCCTCGCATTTGATTTTCACACTGCCTAGGATTAGATCTTGTCCTTCTCGGTCTGGTTGTTGCGAACAAAGTGAGGGTGGTGATGCACCGCTGCACAAAAGGGAAAGACTACTGTAATTGAAGGGGTCAAGGTATGGAAGAGTGGAGGGGTTGGGTTTGGAAGCCAAGATAGTGGTTAGTAGTAGCGTAGGGAGACATGGACAGGTAGAAGATATTTAGGGGTGTGTGGTTGGGGGTATAAATAACTATTTATTGGCTTTAATCAAATAAATTACATATTTCGGATTATAAATAATAATGATTATTAGTCGTTAGATATCAACAATTAGTTATATTCAAATAATTAATCCAGATAATTTCTTAGTGTAATTGCATTATTTATTAATGTTTTGAGTCTAGTCCTTATTTTCATTTTATTTTTATTTCCCTATAGGGGTCGGGCCAACTGGGGCTGAAAGACCCCATGAGCTTTTGGCCGTACGTAGATTAATAATTCTCTTGCCTAGGACTAGTTTGCATGGTCAGAAAAGGTTGAGGGACCAAGTGAGGGTAGGCTTAAGTTGAATAAATCTCCCCAACACAGGTCCCCTGTAATTTGTTTGCTCATAACTTGGAGTTTTGTCCATCCTCTGCTTCCCTTGAGACCGACAAGGAGGATCGAATACCACTTCAGTAGCGGAGATAGTGGAACTTGTTCCGATAGCTGCAATGGCGCCCTCTTAGAGTGAAATAATAGCTGATAGGTCCCTTATGGAGTTTGTTTTCCATACAATCTTAGGTT